CACTATTGCTCAAATAGTGCTTTACTGCGAAGGATCGTTCTCATATACGTCTCATAACCGCAGTTCACACATATGTTTCATATGTTTGTTGTTGTTTGATTTATCATCTACGGGTTTATATCGAATTAATTTGATGGCCTGCTCCCAGTTGGCTTGTTAGCTCAATTGGTAGAGCGCTGCACTAGTATCGCAGAGGTCAGTGGTTCGAATCCCGTACAGGCCTGAAATTTTTTTCAGGTCTGATTTCCACTATTGCTCAAATAGTGCTTTACTGCGAAGGATCGTTCTTATATACGTCTCATAACCGCAGTTCACTCATATGTTTCATATGTTTGTTGTTGTTCGATTTATCATCTACGGGTTTATATCGAATTAATTTGATGGCCTGCTCCCAGTTGGCTTGTTAGCTCAATTGGTAGAGCGCTGCACTAGTATCGCAGAGGTCAGTGGTTCGAATCCCGTACAGGCCTGAAATTTTTTTCAGGTCTGATTTCCACTATTGCTCAAATAGTGCTTTACTGCGAAGGATCGTTCTTATATACGAATAATAATAATGATAATAATAATGATTACAATAATAATGATAAAAATAATGATAATAATAATAATGATAATAATAATAATGACAATAAAGAGAAAGAAAGGCGACCATATTCTTTGTCGGAACCTATACCTTTTCCATACCCGGATGGTGGACCTTTAATATCAGCTCCGAAGAAGTATCATCTATTTCCAGGCAAAGTAGGCGCAGGCTTAAATATCAATTCAAAGTCGTGATATTTAATAATAATAATGATAATGATAATAATAATAACAATAATAATAATGATAATAATAATGATAATGGTAATAATAATAATGATAATGATAATAATAATAATAATAATAATGATAATAATAATAATGATAATAATTTAATATTGATAAAAGCTTTATTCGTACTGGAAATATCTATCAGCATTATTGAACGCTGGTCTTAACAAGATGTCCAGTAAATAAAATACAAAGCAATATCGTTCTAAGTTACATATTTCAAAGACACTGAAAACTGGTAAGATAAGACTACTAAAAGTGGTAATTTAAGAACTACCAGAAACTAATTCAAAGTATTAGGAACCAACTAGTTATACTGTACATTTCTGATTACTAATGTCACTGTCTCTCAGTTGTTTAAAAAGATTAAATTTAAAAGAGGCTGTTCTAGTTGTTTTCCTAAGTTTTATAGGGAGTGAGTTCCAGTCTCTTGCACCAGCACTTTGGAAACTCTTTCTTCCTGAAGAAGTCTTAGACTGCGGTACGTCGAGGGTGCTTTGGCTCCGTAGATTTCTGTTTTGGGCCTCAGCCCTGCTGGTTAGGTAACCCTCTAGTTGCTTAGGGCACTTTTGGTTGCTCACGATCTTGGTTCCTCACAAATCTGAGGAATCGTCTGCTATTGTATAGTGTTAACAGCCCTAGAGTGTTCCTCATATATTGTGTGCAGGTTCTGTTGGCCCTCAGAATAACCCGCATGGCTTCCTTTGGAAGTCGTTTGAGTTTATCTAATTAACAATTATTCCACGAGCGCGCGTTGGATATGAGATAATAGATAGCCAACGAGGCGCGTAGCGCCGAGTTGGCTATAATCATCTCATATCCAACAAACGCGAGTGGAATAACTGTTTTATTAAAAACGCTACATTGAATTATTAAATTTTATTAAATTTTTAGCTCCCTTTCAATTTTAAGCTTATGCATACGCTTACCATATCGTAGTTTATGGTATATTGGCTCATATACCATAATGGCTAAGCCAATGAAAAGTCTTGAATTGCATTATCCAATGATCCAGTTTTTAATAATAGGGTATTATTACATTCATGCCGTACGATGCATCTATAATCGATCCCTGGGAGGATTGTCTGTTTGGAGATCCTCAGAAGTAACCTTGTATCTAAAAAGCCAGCAAGTCTATTTAAGAGGGCTATTTTTGCTGAAAGTCTTTCAATTAACTGCGATATGTGAGGTTCCCAGTTAGGAAGGCTGTTGAAAGTTACTCCAAGGTATTTGAAGGTCTCAACCACACTGAGCTTATTGTTATTTGGGAGTATGTTGGCACTCGACATGGGAGCCTTCTTTGCTACGATTATTACTTTTGTTTTCTTCGTGTTCAGTATTAGGAACGCCTCCTGGTTAGCTCAATTGGTAGAGCGCCGGACCGTTGTGCGGGAGGTCGAGGGTTCAAGCCCCGGCCGGACCAACACTCGGGGTCTTAAAATAAGTGAGGAGAATGTGCTACCTTTCTATAACATCAAGAAATGGATAGATATTCTAGTCTTCTCGGATAAGGACGAATAAACCGCAGGTCCCGTCTCTTGCAGGGCTAGGGGTAGGAGACGTTAATTTCCCACGCGCGAGATTACTGTGTGGTGGATGTCCTCCCCCTGGATGTCCTCCCCTATCGCCCTTTGCAGATTAGACGTTTAGATTTAGGTTGTTGTTCCGCAGCCAAGTAGAGATGTTCTGGAGGTTAGAATTTATTTTGAGAACTGCGGTTTCAGTGTCGTCAGAGTAAAAAAACCTGGAGGTCTCTAGTGTTGTTGACACAACACCGTTGATGTGTATACAGAAAAGGGTTGGGCCCAGGACAGATCCTTGGTGGACTCCATGGGTGACAATTCTCTCATTTCAGTTAACCTCGTTACATTGGACAAGTTGCTTTCTGTTGGTAAGGTAGCTACGAACCCATGCATGCTCAGCACTGGAGATTCCGTTTCTTTTAAGTTTTGGAGTAATAGCGAGTCATCAATGACATCGGAGGCCTTCCGTAAGTCTAGGAACACGGCTGTACCAATCAACCACTTATTCTTTGCCCATTTCCATTCGCAGACCACTTTAAATAGCGCGGCAAGGGTTGAAGAGTTCTTGGAATATGCAAATTGTTCTTTCGTGATAAGGCAGTTTTCTCTGGCATATGATTGTAGCAGTTGATTTGCAAACTGCTCATGGAGTTTTGACACTACAGGAAGAACGGAAACTGGCCTTTAGATTTCTTTGTCAAGTTTGGTCCCACCCTTGAAAATCGGTGTGATTCTTGCAGTTTTCAGCCTCTCTGGAAACACCCCGGATTCGAAAGAGAGGTTCTTCAACGGTGTAAGCAGCGTTAAACAACGACCAGCAGCCGCCTTGAGAATTTTGGCTGGTATACCATCAGCACCTGTGGCTTTGGTTGCATCTACTGCTTTAAGCATTGTGAAGACTTCGTCAAATGATAGCTTTCTAAAGGTGAAATGGTTTTCAGACGGCTTCATGAGGTTCATTTTTTGTCGGATTCTAAGTTTGGTACTCGATTTAAAGCAGGTTCAGGTGCGACAGTGACGAAGTAGTTGTTTAATGAATTCGCCATTTGTTCGGGCTCGGTCAACTGAGAGCCATCTATTGTTAGTTTATCAATGGTTGCACCATTACCACTTTACATGTACATAGTAGATATAGATGAAAAAGTGCCTCCTCAGTTGCCACAGCTCAGAAAAACGATCAGTGTCACAGAAATATAAAAAAACATCATGTTCATTGTTTTCACTTCCAAATAGTTGAACGACTTTGAGTTCAATGGTATATGCTTTGGTTTTAATATGCATCCCGCAAGTATAGATTTATTTGAGTCTTGAATCACATCACATGCTCATAGGAGTGTGTTCTCGATCAAATACTGGGACTTTTTGACGAGAAAAATAGGGATAAACTGTTTAGCAAACAAATCTTACGATTGAGGAAAAAAATACCCTGTTACACTAGTAATTTGAAGTACAAATCACTAGAAACACCGTCACCAGGTCAAGTGGCAAAGTTATGAGGAGGACCTACAAAGAAGTTTCCTCCAGCCTGATCCTTAGAGACAGGAACTGGATTTGCTAGGGATGAGAATTGACTTCCGACCATTTCTGAGCTAGAATTGAATAAGACCTCCTAATAGGAGTGACAAGTGGCAAGCCGGTCTTTTCAGTATTAAACTGAAATCTATTGGTGATATTATAACGATCTCGTGGTTATGGCAATTATGCCTTGAAATTTTCGAAAACGTTTGTCATACATAACAACTTTTGTCAA